GGCTCGATCGAAGAAAGCCCCGAAGAAGAAGGCGGCGGCGACAGCCTCCCCTACTGCTTCCCCCGACCACAGTGAGGGTTCTCCATCCGAGCAAACATCTCCGTCCAGTTCTCTTCTTGCAACGAAGCGCGCCGGGTCGGGGAGTGAAGCAAAGGCCTCGTCACCGCATGGTGGAAGTAGCCCGAGTCCGAGCGCTAGTAGTTCTGGTGACGATAGCGCGCCCATATCTTCTCTCGTGTTCGACAAGAACTCTGATGCAGAGGAAAAAATGCAGAATATCGTATCGAGCTTCCACGATGCGATGGGCAAGACCGAGAAGCCTGCACGAGGGAAGAAGCGGAAGAAGCGTGGTACTGCATCCTCCCTGCCCAGTCCTTCGGCGTCATCTTCATATTCGGAGGCCTCCCCTGCTGCCAGCAGTTTGGGGAGTCCGTCACCATCTGAGGACGAAAAATTGAGTGAGTCAGGAAACGGGGGGTCGGTGTCGATCGTAAGATAATGACAGGCTCGACAGGAGAGAAGAGAGGGAAGAAGAAGCATCAGCATCGGCATCATCATCATCACCATCATCACAAACGCGCCACAAAGAAGAGTCGGCTCGACTCTGGGGAATCTCCCTCACCCTCGGAGATCTGCACCTCCCCATCAGAGCTCGCTTCCCCACTCCCGGTAGGAATTCTCCGCTGCCGTTTTGTCTGCACACCGTCGTCTCAGTCACCCTCCTCTCCTGGAGAGCTCGCGTCGTCGCCGCCTACCCCTACAGCGGACGTGACATCGTCTCTCGCTGAGGAAAAACATGTTGAGGCCCAGTGTAAGCATTTCTGATCGGTTTTAGATTCAAATTCTGATAATAAATGTGATTCAGCAATCCCTCCATCCTCTCAATCACCCGCGTTGACGCTTCCTATTCCTTCCAAGCGAACACAGAGTACGGCTGCGCTGTTGTTCACGAGCTGAACAGTTATGTATGTGTCTTATAGATGACATTATAGCGTCTCCGAGAGAAGATGCCGACCATAGTAGTGTCGGAGACGAACCGGTTGAGTCGCCCAAGTTGGTTGCTGTGGGTGGTGGCGAGACCCCTAAGGAAGATCTCTTCGGCGAGCCTATCGCAAGTGAGTCCACCGCCAGGGTTCATACATTGAAGCGATCCCAGCTGAGCAACATGGCTACTCCATAATTCTATAGACGTGCATCCCACACGCATCTCTTTAGTGTGCAAGCTGATTATTCCTGCCTCAGTGGACACTGAAACTCCTTCGAGTTCACCCGAGACAGTAGAGACAAATGCCGGAGCTGTGACGGAGACTAAAGGCGAGGTTGTATCATCAACCGCTACCGGGAGGGCTGCTGAACAGAAGAAGAAGTCTATTGTCGATGCGTTTGCCTCGCCGCCTTCTGCTAAGAAGTCGAGCAAGCCAAGAAGTTCCCATAAGCTTAAGTGACTCTCCATTTCTCGTCTTGGTTATCTTCCACGCTCTGTGATATAGGGAGCATCTAAAAGCTCACGACGTACGAGTCCCGCTCGATCGCAAGCCCCGGATACGCCTGGGGAAGCAG